CCCATCTGAAGCACCATCTCTGCCTGGGCTGCTGCCAGGGCCTCGCACCTGGGCTGTGGGTCCCCTCCCTCATCCTGGGGTTGGGGTCCCGTCCTCCCCCTCTCACTTGTCCACCAAGCCACACCACCACCGCCTTGCTGGTCTCTGTGCTGACCCCTACCCCTGGCCCTTTGCACCTTATCTCTCTGCCTGCCTGAGGTGCCCCCTCTCTGGCCTGTCCCTTGCTGGCCTTTTTTCCACATTTGCTCTCCAGTCACATTGTCACGGAGGGGGGGCTCCCCTCTTTTCTTTGGATCTCATCTGGCTCCAGTTTTTATTGTCTTTATGGCTGCTGACTGCTCAGCCAGAGAAGAGGCCCTGTAACTCTGAACACTGCGGACCACAGTAGCCGGAGCAGACCGGCTTTCTGCTTTCTGTAGCGGGGTCACAAAGAAATGCGTAGATGAAGACAGGCATAGAGGACGATGTCCAGATTCCAGAGCCTGACAGCCAGTTAGAAAAACTTTTTTTTTGTTTAAAAACCTAATAGTTTTTTTTTTTTTTTTTTGCGGAACCAGGGATTGAACTCAGGCCCTTCCACTCACCAGGCAAGCACTTATTCAACTGAGCTATCTCCCCTGCCCTGAAAACCTAATAGTTTTTAAGAGGAATCTGTGACATGGGTCTTCACATAAAAGCTATTTAACAAAACAAACCACATTTTCCCCAGGACAACTCACTGAATCTTAACAACGTGCCTCTGTCCATGTCTTTGCTTTTTAAAATATATGTGTAGTGGATTAAAGCACCTGCAAGCAGGTGCAGGGGCCGGGGCTTGATCCCCAGGCCTGCCGCGCCGGCCCTGCCCCCGGGGCGCGCTGAGAAGGCAATGGAGCCTGGGCGCCGTGGCGAGCGCCTGGAATCCCAGCTCTGGGAGGCTGTAAACAGGCAGATCACTGCGAGGCCATCTAGTAGTGAGACCCTGAACACCCTTGTAGACCCTTCCCTAAATTTTTTTTTTTAAAAAAGTGTGTAGTATTTCTTGAGCTGTGGTGTTGGTAAGAAACGTCCTCTTAAATCTTCATGCTTTAAAAAAATCTCTCTATCGTCCAACACTCTAAAGTTCACTCATTACTAAATTATTAGTTGAGGCCAGAGTACATAAGAGTGCTTGCTGGGGTGTGTCTCATGAATAACTCAGTGCTATTTATTTATTTTAATTTTATGTATTTGGTATGGGGTCTCACTACTCAGCTTGGACTCATGGTGATCCTCCTGTGTCTCAGCCTCCCCAGTGCTGGGATTACAGGCGTGCACCCCCACGCCTGATTTAGTTGTCAGCTCGGCACACTGGAGAGCAAGGGCAGGGCCAGCACAGCAAGCGGTACTGGGATCGAACCCCAGTCCCTGCACTTGCCCAAGCAGGTGCTCAGTCCACTGAGCTATCTCGCTGACCCTCATGTCATTTACTTTTTGTGCTATGGAACTGGGAATTGAACTCAGAGGTGCTCTATCACTGAGCTCTTTTTCTTTTTTATTTTAAGACAGGTTCTCATTAAGCTCCTATGGCTAGACTTGGAATCCACCTGCCTCAGCCTCTGAAATAGCTGGAACTATAGACGGGCACAACAGTGCCTAGCTTTGAATTGCGATTTTTAACTGACAAATTTTTTGAGTTATGCTGTTCCTGACTTCCAGCTTAGTCATACCGTGGCCCAGGAGCACATCACGTGCAATCAGTGGTCACTCTCATCCTTCTCTTGGCTATCTGCGGGGCTCCTCTTGCTCCTTGACAGTAACACCTGCTCTGCTCCTCCCTGAAGACCAATTCTAGCCCCTTCTCTACCTCTGAAACCAACACAGAGCCCAGGGATGCTCATGGGACACCCTGCAGAGTGCCTGCCTGTGGGTATGCAGGGCTCCCCAAATTCTTTGTTCATTGACTGGTTTCCTGGGGAGAAGGCCCCCTCTGCACCAAGAAATCAAACCGTAACTGAATAACTGAAAGGAAGCGCTTGTTGTAGCTGCTCCTTTCTGAGCTTCTCTATTTCTGTGGATGCCATTTTCCCCTCCGTGACTAAGCTATGAATAAGAGATGGAAGAGGAAGAGGTGGTTTGAAGTAGAACAGAATGACTTGATTTGAGGTTGCAGCTGAGGTTTTGAGGGGATAGCATGGCTGAGTCATCTCTGTTCCCTTCCACAGATGCTGGCTCAATGACACATCCCCCTCCTGGGGCCTCCTTGACCCTCCTTCTTTGTGGTCTGGGACTCTTCTGGGTGTTGGCAGAAGCTGGGGCCCATGCCCCTCCTTTCTGATCTGTTCTTGAATCCTAATTCCCAGTTTCTAGTTCTTTAGAAGTTGCTGTGATTGGGGACACCCCCTCATCTATCCCTGCAGCTATAACAAGGCACCTTCAACTGAGTAATTTGGAAACGTAAGAAATTCATATCTCACAGTTCTGGAGGTCAGGAAGTCCAAGATGACAGCTCCAGCCAACTCAGTGCCTGTTAAAGGCTCTCTTCTCTCTTTTCCTAAGTGGCACCTGCGTTTCCCTCTGGGTTCATGCTGGATCTTCCGTGGCAGAAAGTAGGAGGGCAAAAGGACAACGGCTGTGAGCTCATATGGGAGAGGAGATGAACAGGGCAGGCAGCTCTAGGAAGCCTCTTACGGCATTAACATTCGCACGGTCAAATCATTCAAAGTCCTCTGCTCTTACCACTGCTGCCCTGGGATTGGGTTTAATGGGGGATTTTGGAGAAACACAAAACATAGCAGAACAAAAACCAGCCAGAGCTGCATGTTTTCCATGTCTGTGGGGCTTCAGTGAGGATTCTTCCTGCTTTCAAAGGAAGCCTCTGCAGGGCTTATGACAGCCTTGCCCCAGCCTGGTGGTCTTAGCGCTCTGCGTTTCCCTCTGGGTTCATGCTTTGCCATAACACCACATACTTCTATGCAGGAAGAAGTCCAAGGTTCACACGCCTTCTTCTCTCCCCTTGCTACCTAAGCCTGACGTCCTCTGTTCACTCCTCTCTCTTCTCCTCTGCTTAGAACGCAGCTCTGTCCTTGATGGCTGAAGTCTAACTCGCTTACAGGCCCTTCATGGTTGCCTACCCTGAATGCACGCTCTCCGTCCTCAAGGGCTTCAGCACATTTCTGACACTTATCGTGTCACATTTGGCCTCAGATCAAATGCACATTTTAGCTCCACAACTAGACCGTCAGAGGGAAGAGCCTGTGTGTGGCCACCCTGGAGACTTCTACCTCTCCTCATCAGCCTCCTCATGTACAGGGGACTTGGACAAAGAGTGACCGCAGAGCCTGCTATAATTTATTATTGAACTCGATCCCCCTGGCTCACGCTGTGATGTCACTGATATTTCCTTCAAGCCCTTGTCAAGGGGGTACTATTAAACGGCTATGCTGTGCTATAAGTGGAACTGAAGTGTGCTTGGTGATTCGGACATTCAGTCATTTACTGATGCCAGAGGCAGGTCCTGGGCTCAGTTTGTGAGTTCAGCAGCGATGTTGGACGGGGAGACAGGTGGTGAGCAGGAACAGTAGAGGAAGGAGACCCGGTCAGAGCTGGCTGCTGGCATAGCTCCACTTGGGAGGGGGACCTCGAGGGACACCACCAGGAGGGGTGAATGGGGACTCAGGAAGGCCCACAGGGGCAGGAGGAGTAACCTGGGGAGGATAGGATGACAGGAGCTGAGGAACAGCCATAGTGGAAAAGTTCAAGAAACAGAATCTGGGTGCAATCCTGCATTAGACTGGTGGGGAATGGGCCACAGGGTTGGGCCACAGAGTGGGAAGGAACTAGTTGCTCAGCCCAGCCTGGGAGGACAACCGGGAGTTAGAGTGTGTGTGAGCTTTCAGGTGTGGAGCACAGGGAGAACTTTAGGAAGACTAGTCTAGAGGTTGTGTTAGCGTGGGTGGCAGCTGAGGAGAGGAGGCCATAGTGGATCCATGGAATCCAGCCATCCTTGGTGTCCACAGGGCTGGTTCCAGGATCCACAGGCATCCAACTCCACAGGCGCCCCAGGGCCTTGTGCAGAACGGCATACAAAGGGCACAGAGTCAGACACCCCTCCCTGTACTTGGGACCCTCTCCCGGTGACTGAGAATACTTCACACACTGAGTGCTCCGTGGATAACCGTTTTTCTGCTTATTGAGGGAACAGTGACCACAAGCTTATTGCATGTTTAGTATGGATGTCACCCTCACAGGACACCGCACTTGACAGGAGGTGGGCTGAATCCCACGGGACCCTCATGTATGCAGGATCACCTGTAACCTCAGTCCAGGGTGACAAGGGCTTGAAGGAAATGTCAGTGACCTCACAATGTGAGCCAAGGGAACACGAAGGAGAGAACTGCCAGGCTCTTCTGACCCAAGGGAGTCAGGGGTGGCTGTGCGGACACTGCACAGGTTCTCTCCGCTGCTGTCGCAGGCTGAAATAAAGCAGCCAAGAGCTGAGGCACCTTGTGGGGAGATGGTAAGTTCAGATGTACTGAGTGTGAGGCTCACGCGGGTCATGTAAATGGAAACGTCCAGTAAGCAGCCAGCGACGAGTGGCTAGGAGGTGGGTGGGGTCAGGGCCTGCGAGAAAGGATTTAAGAGTCATCTGTCTGCCTGAAGGGGTGATGGGCAAGGAGCTGCGGGGCAGGAGGAGGGAGAAGGATGGCCCCCAGTCCTGAGGGCTAAAGGAAACTTCCAGAAAGAGGCGGCCAACTGGGTCAAACTGTGCAGAAAGCCAGAAAAGAGTAAAGACTGAAAAATGGCTTTGACAATTAGGGTGACAATCCAGCTGAAGAATGCCGAACGCAATGAGCAAGACATGGACTTCTCCAGCCAGTAACGTTGCCTGAGACTGACACTGGTCAGGGGTGGGTTGAGGTGCTGTGTGTTCCCGCCCTGAGAAGGACCAAAAGGCAGGACAGTCTGGAAGTCAGCTGGATGCGACTAACCAGCGTTTCCACCCACGGCCAAGGAGGCGGAGGCGGACACTCACCTGCGACTCCTTTTCTCACCCAGGAGGCAGCAATACTGAGAATAGAAGAAAGAACTCTTCTTGATATAGATTCCATCATAATGATACCTGAAAATAAGGGTCAGCTTTAGAATGTCACACGCACAGCAAGTGACAAAGAAAGTCCCAGAGTGTGTCTCTGGGCCGCACCACTGACACCATTCCTTCAGGAAAGCTGATGGGTCGCCGGGCCCCAGCAAGCTCTGGTTGGTGGCCAAGCAAGCTCCTGTCACACACAACCCTAGGCTTGTGATAGTCGAGGCGAGAAGTTTTTAACCATAACCGTGGCGGGACAGCAATCCTTGTTTGGTGGAAACCAAACTGTGGACCTTTCCTCCCAGGGGCAGTAAGCACTGCAACGCTCTCTCCACGTTGGGTGGCAGGAGCAGCCCAGGGCCTCGTCAGGGAGGGGACATACCTCACGCTTCGGGGTGTGCTGGTCGCTGAGCTGGGAGTGTAGGGAGTTAAGCTGTTGACGCCCTTCCCACTTATCCTGGGCTCAGAGGGGCCGCCATCTCCTGGGAACCCATGCCCCACTCTCCTCACAAATGACTGTAGTAATTATGTAACAATTATGACAACAATGCCCCTGGTCTTGCGAGAATTTCCTTTCTGAGAACTGGAGGTGGGCCCGGGCTCCTGAGTATAATCTGATAAGCTAGCAGGACCCTACTTAGCTCCTTGGCCTACACCCGCAGCAGCAAAGGCCGTGACTGCCAGGGTATTTACGGGAGCGCAGCTCACAACAGCCCAGGTGAGCGCCTATTTGTGTACGCAAATGGATGCAGGAAACATGGCACATAAGTGAACAGTGTGGTATTTGTTTTTATAATGTACTATTATTCAGCCATAAAAAAAGAATGAAATTTTGTTATTTGCAGGAAAATGGATGGAACTGAAGATCTCCGTGTTGAGTGAAATAAGCGACTCAGAAAGACAAGTATCATGTGCTGTCCCTGACACATGGCCCTAAAAAAGATGACACCAAAGGAGAAGGAGAAGAAGAGAAGGAAGGCAGAGGTGGATACGATCAAGATATACTACACACATTGAAGCCTAAGGGGAGCTAAGAGAGTTCACTATTTCACATACATAATCACTTAGATATTTCAACAGACATGGACTTGTCTAACCATTTAAAGTGTGGAAACAAAACATAGACATATACAGTGGCTTTTGTATTTTGTTGCACCGCCATCTGAATGCTTTCAGACACAGGGCTTAGTCTGAGTTAAGGTATTCTTTGGTAAGAGCTGGTACTTATAGTTTGCAATTCCTGAAATCCTTGTTTTTAATATTGCAAAGCACACAAAGTTGTGACACTACCTGGCGCTGCCTCTGGTCCCCAGCCTGCGGGTGCCGAGATCGGGGAAGGCCAAGTGCACGAGCTGTGGAAAGAAGCCGGACTTAGAGCTGCGGAGTCCCTGCGCTCTTAGAATATTCCAGTTCATTTGCTCTTTTCTGATTATAAAGAAAATAAACACAAGTGAGATTTGGGGGGGAAAATGTGACCAAACAGGTTTGGAAGACAGAACACACTGCTCAGAGAGAACTGCCACTTAAACCCCAGGGTCTAAAAAGGAGCCCAAATACTCCTCCCCAGGCACACGCGCGAGCTGGTACAGCCGCTTCACTGTGCAGATCGGCGTGGAGATTCCTCAGGAAGATGAACCTAGAAACTCCATTCGACCCAGCTATTTCCTTTCTGGGCATCTTCCCCAGAGAATTACAGGCATCACGTCACAGCACATGTACACCCATGCACACAGGCGCACAGCTCACAACAACCAAATCCTCGAAGCGCCTCCAGCGATGCCTCAGTTTTCATGAACACTTCTGTTTGCAAAAATTTGGTTTGCCAGTGAAAACGTTTGGCAAAATTTTGCTCCTATTTGCAAACTCCACATTGGAGTGACAAACACCAATGTGGTCATGTTCTTCACACAAACACAAACAGAGCTTTCTTCCCTAAAATCCTGAAAGAAGTTAAGTTGGTTAACTGAGGTACCACTATATATGTCCATCAATAGCTAAATGAATAAAGAAAAGGTGTCATTCACATGCAGTGGAGTACTACTCTGCCAGAAAGAAGAACAGGACTGAGGCATTTGTGGGCAGACAGATGCACCTGGGGATCATAATGTTACGTGAAATTAATCGGACATTCAGGCTTAAATGTTGTACAATTTCTTTTATGTGAAAAATCCAAATAAAATACAGAGCAAAATAAAGGATAGATAATAGTAAACAGGGAGTGGATCTTTTGCAGGAGGGAAGGGGCTGGGGAGATGCAGGCAGGGGCTGGGCAGAGAAGGGAAAAACAGAGAGTGAAGATGGGCGCCGACTCCTCATGAGGAGAGTCACGTGCGGCAAACATGCACCAATAAAATTGACATTAAAGCCGGCACCAGGGCTGGGCGTGGCTCAGCAGCAGAGCCACGCCCAGCACGCAGGAGGCCTGCTTCTGTCCCCGGCACCGATATGAAACATGGACACTTCAGCGCCATTGGTCCCGGTCGAAGCCTCGCTATGGGCATGAGTTCTGTGTGTGTGACAGGTCACCAGTGTCCACCGTGGCATAGCTGACGCCCCCTCCACCCCCAACATCTTACTGTAGCCTCTGGTTGTTACAGACTCCCGGGGGTGGGGGACTGTTCCTAGCTGCCCTTAGTCCGTCCTCTGAGGTGTCACAGCCACACTGCTTTCCCGTTTTTGTAACCTGGCAGTAATTCTGACTTTGTTTCCCGTTCACTTCCCTCACTTTCCATTCCAGGCTTTCCTTGGTGAATGCTTGGAAACTCTCAAGCCCTGGCTGCTTCCGATTCCCTTGTCTCCTGCCCCGGGGACTATGCTGTGCCAGGAGCCCTGGAAGTCTGGGCCAGGCTCCTTGGCAGAGGAAGCTGGTGGCCGTGGACTCCCAGGCAGGCCTGTGAGCACTTGGGGCGGTGAAGCCTGCTGATGCGCCGGAGGCTTTCCTGACCGGAGCTGTCCTGGAATCACCTCTGCCCCTGTCCTGCTGGCTGCACAGCCCACTTGTGCTCGGCTTCCTGGCTCTCTCCTTCCGTTTTGTATTGGCTCCAAAGAGCAGGATTTAATGGAAACGTCATGAGACCTTTTGTCTGACTCTTCCTGCCGGAAGACAACACAAGCCAGGGTGTGGAAGACCCAGCTGCCACAGGGTAACCCTGGGGTCATGAGTGCAGATCGGGGCATGATTCAAACATAGGGGTGGTGGGGGGAGGTGCAAAGCGGAGTACAGAAGAAAAATAAATGACAAAGGTCGACACCAAAGTCAGCCAAGTGTAAACATAGAATGCAAGGCCAGACACTTCTAGCTCCAACAAGTTATCTTAAGAAAATCGGTCAAAACCTTTCTGTCTGGTTGTAAAATAACATCAAGATGCAAATAGCAGGCACCTAAAGAAATTATTGGAAAGCATGCTGTGGGCTCAGATGTTACACCTCGGAAACATTCAGTATTGCGAAGGGAGACGCACAAGTGAATTTGTGCGTTCCCTGGTGTCTTAGGTACTTTTTACTTGTTGCTGGGACAAATACCCGAAATACCCGACACTCAAAATGAAGGAAGGAAAGGTTTATTTAGCTCACATTTACTGGAGGGTTCAGTCCACATTCTGCTGGCTTCAAGGCAAACAACAGCAGTTCATGCTGCAGAAAACAAGGAAGAGCAGAGGAGGAGCAGCAGCTGCAGCGGTGTCCATCAAGCCTCTCTCTTCCTTCTACGCTGACTGCGAAGACCAGCGCTCCACAGCTGCGAAGATCAAGCTCCTCTGAAGACTGGGACTTCTCCACGCAAACAGGGCAGGAAGCCACCTGCGCCCTGCTCACCTGCAGGGCTGCCCCCGCCCCCACGCTGAGAACTGAGGGAACTGATTCAGCCAAGTTGACACAATGTATCAACTAACACACCTGGCAACTTCTGTACAGGGCCAGCCAGATAGCTCAGGGATTAAAGTGCCTGTTTAGGCAGACACAGGGACTGGGATTCAAGCCCTGGCATGCTCTTGTCGGCTCTGCCTCTGGGCAGTGCTGAGACATTGATTGAGGCTGGACATGGTGACACAAGCCTGTAATCCCAGCACTTGGGAGGCTAAAAATAGGAGGATTGCTACAAGTCTGATTTATGGAGTGAGACCCTGTAGGCTCTACTAAATACACATTAAAAAATATTGCATATTACATTTTTTTTTCATTTTATGTGTTTGGTATAGGGGTCTTACTATGCAGCTCAGAATATCCTGTGATTTCATTCATGAACAGGTATGTTACAGTTAAACGAAAAAAAATCCTGAGATAAGTGCTTGAAATCAATACAGCAAGGTTAAAAAGTCATACAATAGAGCTTTTACCAATCTATAGGAAAAAGACAAATTCAGGTTGAACATATCTAACCTGAAAATTCAGATTCCAAAATTTCCCAAATCTGAAACATTTTAAGCACTGATAATATGCCATAAAATTACCGAAAATAGTAGCCTAGCAGACTAGCCACCTGCTTAAGAAAGCTTAGGGACCGGGTTCAAACCCTACCACCACGTGCTGCGCCAGCCCCAGGTGCCCTCAGCCGACCACCAAGACCAGGCATGGTGGCGCATGCGTGTAAGCCCAGTGCTGGTGATGCTGAAAACAGGAGGATCACTGTGGGTCTGAGCTGCATAGTGAGACCCTGTACCAAACACATAAAAAAAAAAAAATTCCATAAAATTTTGTTTTAAGAACAAATAAAACTGTTTTGTAAAGTTTCCTTCAGGCTATGTGCATATGGTACATATGAAATAGAAGTGAATTTCAAATTTAGGGTTAGGTCTCCTCTTGTCTCCAAAATATCTCATCATATCCTTACTAGTATTCCAAAATCTGAAACTCTTTTGGTTTGAAGTATTTTGGATAACGGGCAGGCAGTCACCCCGTACTCTAGAAGACCATAATCTGGTGATAGTAGGCACACACGAGATTCCAACCACCAGTGTGTGAACGAAGTACAGTGCGCAGCTTCTCTAGGAATCTAGACGCATAGCAGAAACAGCTGAATATTGTTTCTACCTAATACATTTTTTCCGAATAGGAATACATGGGTTTGAGGTAGAATATCATGCACTGTCACAGCGTGGGGAGCTGATTGTAAATGTTCACAGTTTGATGGGCAGCAACGTGGCGGGTGTCTTAATTCCTTTCTCCATACTGTGATACAATACTTGACACCCACAATTTAAAGGAGGAAAGGTTTATTTCGGCTCACACTTTGTAAAGATTGCGGTTTATAGTCAGTTATCTCTAAGGCAGGGCAGCCTGGTGGAGGGGGAGCTTGCTTAGGAGGGGAGGGGACAGGAAACAGAGAAATCAAAGGAAGAGGGGGCGGACCCGCCCAGGCCACGCCCCCAGGGACCACCTCCTCCAACCAGACTTCACCTCCCATCATCCCATCTAGCTACAGACTGGTCAGAGGCAGAATCCACCAATGAGTGTCACACTCCCATGATCCAGTCACTCCCCAAGGCCCCTCCTATGAGCACAGAAGGCTTTAGCCCTAAACCAAGACTAAGACTCTCCTAGGGCAAGGACCCAGTACTGACAGAGGTTTATATCGCTTAGAACAGAGAAAAATCACTGACAGCCTATACTCCAGAAAGGAACATGGCTAAATACATTATGGTACAGGCCAAAACATTTTCCTAGCCATTATACAACACGCGCTCAAAAAGGCTTTGATGTGAAAATATTTCAATATTTGAGAAGAAATAGGTATGCTAGCAATAAAAGTTAATATTTCTTGACTGCCAGAAGGGCCGTACTCTCTTCACGTGTGCTTTCTCTCTCATTCCTTATAAGAACATCATGACACAGGACATTATTATTATTATTATTATTATTATTATTACCACTATTAATGTCCTCACAGATGGCAGTCACAGGACAATACAGCTAAGGAACTCACGGAGGATTGTAACCTAAAAAGTGAGTCTGAGCTTGGTGCCTAAACGTTGCATTACCGATCCATCTGTCCATCTCTGTACCTGTCTCTGCCTACCTTTATCTCTGTGTGTCCGGGAACTATCTCTAGGTATGCCTTCCCATCTCCGGATCTGTTTTTAGCTCTGTCTAGTTATCTCCGGAACCATCTGGCATGTATCTTTATGCCTATGTAAATATGTTCTTATCTACAAGCACTTTTACCTCTAGACAACTTCTCTTTCCACCTGGATCTGCCATTCGTCTCTGTATCTATCTAGGTATTTGTCTCTCTGCTCAGTCCTGATAAGGACACAGCAGTCAAATGACAACAGTTGAAGCAGGACCTAACCCAGGGTGTCACTGGGAGCGCTTCCAGCATCCAGGGCCTACAGAGGAGACAAAAACCAGCTCAGGC